CTCAAGAGTGTGCTCAGGCTTTTATAAAATGAAGTTGAGACTGTTCCTTAATTCAAGTAGAATATGTCACAATAACCTGGCTTAAAAAATATCACGACAAACCTACAAATGAGAAATGAAAACTGAACAACGCAACCTCATCACCGTCCAGTTGTCATTTCCTATATATAGGCTTGCTGTTAAATGTCCTCTGAGTGTGCCGTATATAAATAAAACTTTAAATATCACAATGCCTTATAGGTGTAGTATCGTGCACACTATTTAAACACTTCTGAATGCATATAGTATCAATAAGAAGCGTGACAGTGACGAGGATAAGTAGGATCAGGTTGGAAGGGGAATGGGGGGAACTAAATGATGGAGGTACACAGAGTAACACACACCCACACACAGTCAAGATTGACGCTCTACTGACAAACTTACCACAACTCAACCACGGGAAAGTTGCCACTAGTTAACCTAGCCTCGTTTACCAGGTGTTCAGTCTAACAACGTACACACCACCAACTATACACACACATACAACCATTCACGTCCATCACGGACTACTTCATTATATGTCTTGTTATTTTAAAATTATTACATTTTATCAAGTATGTACACTGTAGGTTTTCAGTGTACAGAAAAACAGACACTTAGAGGTATACTGTATATATGTTAGTCTGTTTAATTTAAACTCTATTTTGGGATTAATATATTCATTCTGTTTAGACAAGTAAACTGTAGACTTAATGACCAACTAACAGTCGACAGGTTTTAAATCAAACAAATTAAGCTTATATTTTTATTATCTGTATTAGTAATTTTGATGTAGATACCCAAGTGTTGCACTTGGGTCTAATTTATCAATATTTTTGATGTACATAAAACGGCAGGTGTCTAAATAAGGTACAAAACAAAACAATAAAAAAATCATAATGTTTGGCTCTTATAAATGGAATAATGATCGTACATAACGTAAACATTATAATTATCAAACAGGCCCTGTATTTTGTGTGTGAAAATCTTTAACAAACACAGTCTATATTAGGCAATATGTGTCGTTGTGTATAGTGTATATTTTCCTATATTATTATCATTATAATCAAGGGGAAGCGCTAAATCCGTAGGATTATACAGCGCCTGGGGGGATATTACCTGGAGGTTACCTGGATACCTGGAGGTTATTCCGGGGATCAACACCCCCGCGGCCCGATCCATGACCAGGCCTCCCGATGGATCAGGGCCTGATAACTAGGCTGTTACTGCTGGCCGCACGCAGTCCAACGTACGAGCCACAGCCCGGCTGATCCGGCACTGACTTTAGGTATCTGTCCAGCTCTCTCTTGAAGGCAGCCAGGGGTTTATTGGCAATTCCCCTAATGTTTGATGGGAGGCTGTTGAACAGTCTTGGGCCCCGGACACTTATGGTGTTTTCCCTTAGTGTACCAATGGCGCCCCTACTTTTTATTGGGGGCATTTTGCATCGCCTGCCCAGTCTTTTACTTTCGTAGGGAGTGATTTCTGTGTGCAGATTTGGGACCATTCCTTCCAAGATTTTCCAAGTGTAGATTATGATATATCTCTCCCTCCTGTGTTCCAACGAGTACAAGTCAAGTGCTTCCAAGCATTCCCAGTAGTTAAGGTGCTTGACAGAACTTATGCGTGCAGTAAAGGATCTCTGTACACTCTCTAGATCTGCGATTTCACCTGCTTTGAATGGATATGTTAATGTACAGCAGTATTCCAGCCTAGAGAGAACAAGTGATTTGAAAAGGATCATCATTGGCTTGGCATCTCTCGTTTTGAACGTTCTCATTATCCATCCTATCATTTTCTTTGCACGTGCGATCGTGGCACTGTTGTGATCCTTGAAAGTGAGATCCTCAGACATTACTACTCCCAGGTCCCTTACATTATTTTTCCGCTCTATTGTATGGTCAGAGTCTGTAGTATACTCTGTTCTAGTTATTATCTCCTCCAGTTTTCCATAACGGAGTAGTTGGAATTTGTCCTCATTGAACATCATATTGTTTACCGTTGCCCACTGGAAAACTTTGTTTATATCTTCTTGGAGGTTAACCGCGTCCTCAGCAGATGACAGCCTCATGCAGATCCTAGTATCATCCACAAAGGATGATACGGTGCTGTGATGTATATCTCTGTCTATGTCTGATATGAGGATAAGGAATAAGATGGGGGCGAGTACTGTGCCTTGTGGAACAGAGCTCTTCACTATGGCAGCCTCCGATTTAACTCTGTTGACCACTACTCTTTGTGTTCGATTTGTTAGGAAGTTGAAGATCCATCTCCCCACTTTCCCAGTTATTCCTTTAGCACGTATTTTATGGGCTATTACACCATGATCGCATTTGTCAAATGCTTTTGCAAAGTCTGTGTATATTACATCTGCATTCTGATTTTCTTCCAGTGCATCCAAGGCCATATCATAGTGATCCAGTAGTTGTGAGAGGCAGGAGCGACCTGCCCTGAGCCCATGTTGCCCTGGATTGTGCAGATTTTGGGAATCCAGGTGATTTGCAATCCTGCTTCTTAGCACTCTTTCAAAGATTTTTATGATGTGGGACGAAAGAGCTATTACTCTATAGTTCTTAGCTAATGCTTTGCTGCCACCTTTATGGAGTGGGGCTATATCCGTTGTTTTAAGTGACTGTGGAATTTCACCCATGTCCAAGCTCCTCCTCCATAGTGTACTTAGGGCACGCGAGAGGGGTTTCTTGCAGTTCTTAATGAAAACAGAGTTCCACGAGTCTGGGCTCGGGGCTGAGTGCGTGGGCATGTTGTCAATGGCTTTTTCGAAATCTATCGGAGTTAGGGTAATGTCGGAAATCTGGCATACATTTATGGAGTTTTGAGGCTCATTCATGAAGAAATCATTTGGGTCGTCGATCCTCAGACCGATTAGTGGTTCACTAAACACAAAGTCGTACTGGGATTTCAATATTTCAATTACGTATTTCCTTGTCATCTGTTTAAGTCCCATCCTGTCTGAGTAAGGGCCCGATACTATATGTGGTATTTGCCTTGTTTTTGGCATATGAAAAGAAATATTTTGAATTTCTTTCAATTTCACTAATAGCTTTAAGCTCCTCCTGTCTCTCCTGGTTCCTGTAATTATTATTATAATCAAGAGGGAAGCGCTAAACCCGGAGGATTATACAGCCTGGTTCCTGTAAGAGTCATTTAACTTACGTTCGATGAATTATTATTATTATAATCAAAAAGAAGCGCTAAGCCACAAGGGCTATACAGCATGTTCGATGAAGGAAAGGCGTCATGTTCATGGCCTACATAGTCACATGCAGGTGACTGGATTATTATTATTATTATCAAAAAGAAGCGCTAAGCCACAAGGGCTATACAGCTCAGGTGACTGGAGTCCTCCAACAAGATTTCAGTGACTGGCAGAGCAACTTGTGGAAGTCTGTCTTTTTACTCATATTGTTATACCTTTTACTATTAAATGTTATTAAAACCCTTTTAAACGGATTATTTCAGATAAGGCAGGAGAAAACCGAATTAGACGCAATTATAAGTACATGAATAAATAATCTTTATTTCTACAAGTACATGTACAAGGTATACAGTCCTAGCTGACATCAATGATACTATATAGAAAGCCGCTTGTTATGCTGAGCATCTCGGGCAAATTAAGACCATTTCGTCCCAGGATGCGACCCACACCAGTCGACTAATACCCAGTGTGACTTGAAAAAGCCCACTGTGTGGGAGAAACGTTGTCAATAAAGGATCACATTAAACTGCATATGTGTTTATGTTTCCACCCAGGTATCCATTATACTGATGGATGAACACTGGACAGCAGGTATCTTTAAAGGAAACACGTTCAGTGTTTTCCAGCCATACCGGAGATCGAACCAAGGACCTGCCTAGTATGGGCCAGTAGGCCTGTTGCAGTGTTCCTCCTTTATGTTCTCTTATGTAAGGACCACATTGTGTGAGTTGACTGCGCTAGCAACTTGCATACACCCTTTTTTTTGTAAATATAAGTTATTGTAAGCTAGCGTTAACATAGCCAGGATGAATTAGGGTGAGTTCACAGCTAGTTTGCTCACTAGATGAACCAAGTTAAAATCTCATTTCCACTTCAAATTATTATTATCATTTTCTACATATATATGGTTTTCAGTTTTATTTATCGTGAGTAGCCACTGCAGAGAGCCAGTGAACAGCCCATGTGAGTGCAGGTGATTGTTCACCACAGAGCCACAGCTCTGCCAGTCAGTCCCAGTTGTTACACTACACTCGCTTCTCGTTTCACCATACAGTTCTAGAGTTAAGTTTTAAATATTGTTTGTACTATAGATTTTTTACAGGAATACAGAGTTAACCTGAGCTATAAATTGTTATATAATTAATTCATGAGATTTCACTATACTACTGTAAAACTTGGAATGTCTATTTAATAAATTTTAATTAAAATTTTATAGTGATTTCATTTAACAGAATGGGCCTGGTCACAGACCGGGCCGCGGGGGCGTTGACCCCCGGAACTCTCTCCAGGTAAACTCCAGGTAAGCCAGCGGAAGGCCTCGGTCAGATGACCAAAAGCTCCAACGCCGGGTCATCATCTAAGATTCACATCAGGAAACTAGTCAGTAAGTTTATTCAGGTATACACAAATACAAAGTGACTTATTTCCACTGGGGTCCTTGAACTGAGGTTTACTTGTTTATAAAGCCTATTAAAGTCGATACTAGGCTTTAAGCACCGTATGCGGCGGGAAAAAATCACAAATCAAACTCAAAAGGAAAATAAGATGATTTATTGATTCTTGGCCTATTTATCAAAATACGGGTGACACCATGTACTTCGAATCCTTGGAAATGAAAGTGAAAAAAAATGATCTCGATGAGTCCCGTTAAGAAAAATTCTCTGGTAAATGTTGAATGCAGGAGGCAAGACACAAGGTAATACCTGAATACTAGTCTTGTTATTATGGGCACGCGGGGAAATGTCATGGCCAGGGTTTAAACTTTGCACTTCCACCTTGACTAAACATTAACCATGGACAAGTCGCTGTTTTTTTTTTTCACGGTAAAAAAGTCACCATTGTACTCAGAGCCCAGCTGCTCATCTATAGACTGTATGTCCTGTATAAAACCAATAAATAATCATTCAGTTAATAAATTAATTACTTATTAAATACTTATTCACATTAAATAATTTACGGAGGTATTCAATACATTTAATTAAATTGTATTAGAATTAAAACCTAGTTCAAGGATAGCCCTCGAAAGGATTTAAATTGTGTTCATAGGGAAACGCTAAACTCGGGGGGGGAGGGGATCATGCAGCGCCTGGGGAATGTGAGGAAATCAGGTTTGATCCAGGGGAGCTGCTCTTCCGGAAGTGGCTGCAATTCCTTGGATCAAGAGCCCTTCAACAGCATTAACACCCCCCCCCCTCCTGGCAGCTGATAAGTATCAGTTTAATTTTATTTTGTGTAGTATCTGATGAAAATAGATTTATTAAGCGGATATCTTGACTATGCGGAATATAATCAGATGTATCTATAGTTTTAGGTTTAGTCAGTTGTGTGTATATATATATATATATATATATATATATATATATATATATATATATATATATATATATATATATATATATATATATATATTATATATTATATATATATATATATATATATATATATATATATATATATATATATATATATATATATATATATATATATATATATATATATATATATATAATATTATATATATATATATATATATATATTAGTCAGCTGTAAGTATAGTCATATGTATGCAGACAGCATCCTGAGAGACAAGATCAAAGGACCACAATGAAAATAAGATAGTCCTCGATGATGCAGACTTTATTGGGTTATCCTGGGAGGCTAACCCTCCCTACCCCCTACCGAAGGAATTAGAGCTTCCTCTCCCTTCTTTGGACTAAATCTGATTACTTCCATTTTCCAGACACTGTATGACTCCTTGAGGTGCCGTGATGCTGGTGAGGGGCTCTTGATCCAAGGAATTAGACTTTTCTCTCCTTCCTTAAATCGAACCTGAATACTTCCCATTCCCGTAGTTTAATATCTTTATCATGTATCCCATACCCATCCTGTGGGCGGTAGTCAAAGGATTACAGAGGTACATAATGGGTCCAGGAACTGGGCCCCAAAGTTTTGATAGCTGTTTCTTTTAAGGATTGCCCAACCCTATTCTTCAGAAGCAGCTTCCACTGCTGCCTTCTGATGGAACTAGCTCCTCTGAGCTGCCTGGTCAGGGAAGCTGGCCTCACTTGCCCACCTCGGAAGGGAAAGTTGAATGCTCCCTTCCAGAGGAAGTTATCTGACAGCCACTCATAGAGGTCTGGTTCCCAGACCCTTAAAGTAGCCTCTTCCTCTGAAAAAAAAGGACCATTACCTAGAGGACCGGTCCTTCTCCAATCATCTTGGCCTTTGGACGATTCTGATACTTTGCAGGTTAAATCTGCAACTAAGGGCTAGGCCGCAAAGCTAATGGGCTAAATCTGCTATTAGCATTCCCGCTATATAATATCACCAGGAGGGCAGATCCCCTGGACCACCTGAAGCGTGATGTATCCTCTTGTGTAATGGAACTGTCGGGGTATGAGGCTCCATATTGAAGATATTTATGTCCTCTTTCTGGATTACGACCTATATATATATATATATATATATATATATATATATATATATATATATATATATATATATATATATATTATATATATATATGTCGTGCCGAATAGGCAGAACTTGCGATCTTGGCTTAAATAGCAACGCTCATCTTGCCATATAGGACAAGTGAAAATTTGTGTATGCAATAATTTCGCCAAAATCATAATGAACCTAACGAAAAAAATATATTTCACTGTGTTTGTTTAGTATTAAATTATTGTAAACAAATCTAAAATATATATAGTTGGGTTAGGCTAAAATAAATTATTCTTGTTATAATAAGGTTAGGTAAGTTTTCTAAGATTCTTTTGGTGCAAAATTAAATTTTTTTACATTAACATTAATGAAAAAAATATATCTTTAAACGCATAAGAGAAAATTTTTAGAAAGGACTTAATTTTAATTGAGTTCTTGCTAAGTGACCAGTTTTACATATTGCCACGACACACACACACACACACACACACACACACACACACACACACACACACACACACACACACACACACACATATATATATATATATATATATATATATATATATATATATATATATATATATATATATATATATTTTATTTAAAGACAAAATACATTGAAAAAACATTCACAAAAATACGATAGAAAGTAAAACAACATAGGTGACTCAGAGCTACATCTCGAATACTTCATCCAGCTCCCCGGTGGTGGGCCGCGTGCCCAGAATGCTGCAGGCATTTCCTCTCTGGATTGCAACACTGAGTCTCTGAAAGAGGAAGCTGGTCGCCCTGTGGTCCTTGGTTTCTATGATGAGCTTTTCACCCAGCTCTATTAGGAACTTTAGAGCACACTTGCCCCATGCTCCAAGGGTCTCCGACCCTATTGGGATGAAGTTATAGCAAGGGGTGAGGTCTTCATATTTGCGGATCTTCTGGGTCTCCCTGTGGCTGGCAGCTCCACCCCCTTCCACTACGGAGTATGGCAAGTAGGTGTCTGCCAATGTGGCGGCACATGTGTAGTCCCAGGCAATCTGCTTTCCATCCTTCCAAGGTAGCATAGTGGCTCCATCAGGACGCTTTTGACTTCCGTCAGACCTCTGCACTTGGGGCTCCCGTTGAGCTGGGCAACGGGCTGTGGCAAGGCTTCTCTTTATGATGTCATTGACCTCCTCATGCCTGGCATACTTCCCTTCTGCTGTGTGACACACGAGACCATGAAGTCCGAATTGATCAGCTCTCGCCCTGCTGCAAATACACCTATGTTCGGTGAGGATGGGGGCGGCTAGGCGAAGAGCAACACCAATCCGAATGGCCTGTGGGTCTAGTCGAGTGCCCAAGGAGGAATTGGGAACAGCTAACAGGAAATCTCCTGAGTGTGGTGCCTTCACTGCCAGGAGACGAACTTTGCCTATCCTGAGGCATTGGAGAGCATTGTGTTGGCGATTTTTTCCATGATCGGTTTGTCCCAGTGGGACTGTTTGTGTTCTTTGGGAGGACCTGGTCTACTGGAGGAATCTGTAAGGGTGTCCCACCGAATCGCTGCTTCAGTAAACCTGGGGTCTTGAGCTACTACCACGTCTCTCAAGTGTTCGGGAACAATCTTCTTGACTAATGCACTGGAAGCCAAACACGAAGACAAAAAAGCAGGTAAAGCAACATGCGTTGCTTTGCGCACCCCTATACCTCCCAGTCACACTGGGAGGGTTGCCTGATCCCATTGCTGATCCTCTAGTGACAGGTTCAGTGCCTTCTTAAGGGTTGACCTCAGGTGTGCGTCATATTCGTCGAGTGTTGGGTTGTCAAAAGAGGGTGCACACCTCAGGAAGTGAGTGAGTCTTGGAATAGTAAGGCACCTTGTGAGGAGATACAGAGCATCATGGGCATCAAGATTCCTTATTCTCTCCTCCATTCTCATCAGGTCATTCAATTTGTCCTTGAGGACTGTGTCGATGGCCTGTGACACCAGCGGTGCTCCCAGGAGGGTACTGTTGGACTGAGTGGTATAGAGAACTTCGGGAGGGAATCTTCGCACAGCATGAATATTTCCTGTTCGCTGTGATGATTTATTCACCACTTGGAGGGATTGAGATGAGTCCGCAAAGTCGTCTCCTATTGTTTTTCACCAGTTTGTAGGTCCTCTACGAGGACTCTTCATACTGCCAGAGTGCCTCATCCAGGTACCAGATGTGAGCAAGCTGCATCAGCTGAAGTTAGTTCTCTTAACTGCCAAGCAGAAGAGAAGCGGAGCTAGTGGGTCACCCTGCTGAATACTTCTGGATGATTGAATTTCATGTTCTCCAAACAAAAGAATTTTAGGTTTGCCTGTAGCCAGCTTGAGTGAAGGGAAAAAGACTGGGGGTTTGGGGAAGCAATCCCGAACACTGGCAAGACAGCAATCTCTCTTACCACCATATATATATATATATATATAATATAAATATATATATATATAAATATATATAATATATTAGATAGATATATATATAATAATATATATTATAAAATTATTATTATTATCACACGGACACTGGCCGATCCCACCAAGGCCGGTGGCCCCGAAAAAAAAAAACTTCACACCATCATTCACTTCTTGCCAGAAGGGTGCTTTTACATACAGTTTTTTAAACTGCAACATTAACACCCCTCCTTCAGATTGTAGCACTTTACTATCCCCATCTCCAGGACTCAAGTCCGGCCATGCCGGTTTCCCTGAATCCCTTCATAAATGTTACTTTGCTCACACACACAGCACGTCAAGATTAAAAACCATTTGTCTCCATTCACATCCTATCAAACATGCTCACGCATTGCCTGCTGGAAGTCCAAGCCCCTCGCAACAACAACAAAACCTCCTTACCCCCCCCCTCCCAACCTTTTCCTAGGCCGACCCCTACCCCCGCCTTCCTTCCACTACAGACTGATACACTCTTGAAGTCATTCTGGTTTCGCTCCATTTCTCTCTACATGTCCGAACCACCTAAACAACCCTTCCTCAGGCCCGTGGACAACAGTTTTTTGAATCCCGCACCTCCTCCTAACTTCCAAACTACGAATCCACTGCATAATATTCACACCACACATTGCCCTCAGACCATGAACATCTCCAACTGCCTCCAGCCTTCTCCTCGCTGCAAACATACATCACCCATGCTTCACACCCATATAAGAGTGTTGTAAAACAATACTCCTCCATACATTCCCCTCTTTGCCTCCAAGGACAAAGTTTTCTTTGTCTCCACAACCTCCTAAGTGCACCACTCACTCTTTTTCCCTCATCATTCCGTATGATTCACCACATCTTTCATAGACCCATCTGCTGACACGTCCACGATCCCAAAAGATCTGAATACGTCACCTCCTCCAACATACACTCTCCCTCCAATCTGATATTCAATCTTTCATCACCTAATCTATTTTGTTATCCTCATAACC